AAAACCTTCTGTTTCCAGTACTAAACAGTGAAGCATTTTGGGGAAGAAGCTGGCAAATGCAGCCGGATGAGTTCTTTGGCATTTTGATCAGTTTCTTCAAGCTGTGTCAGAAGCCAAACAAGAGAATGAAAACATGAGGAGGAGAAGGAAGAAGAAGAGCGTCGAGCTCGCATGGAAGCTCAGGTAAGAGTATGACTAACTGGTCTTCCTCCAGGAGGTTCTACGCTACAGCCCAGCCCAGGGTTTGTAGACCTTGCCAGCACTGTGATTGTGATGTGCTGGCAAGGAGGAGGCGGGAGTGTACTCTCCAGAATGCTGCCGGGAGTTTAAGTAGTAGCAAGTTCCTTTGGCCAGTTTGACAGTATACATCCAAAGCCTTTAAAAATGTATCCACATCCTTTAATCTGGATTCCATTTCTTAGAAATTATTTTAAAAAAGAATCATAAATTTGTACAAAGAGGGCAACATTCTTTATAATAGCCCCAGCTGGACACAGCTAAATGTTTACAATAGGGCATTAGTTCTAAATGATGTAACAGCTACATAACGGAATATATATGTAGTCCTTAAAAGACATACCTTCAAAGAATATTTAATGAGGGGGAGGGGCGTATATACATATATAATGATGAGATGTGCACCATCTGGGGGATGTCATGCTGGAGACTCAGACTTGTGGGGGGATGCGCATTTATTGAAACCTTAAAATCTGTACCACACATAATATGCCGAAATAAAAAAAAAAAGAATATTTAATGATATGTAAGAAAGCTTACAAAATGATTTCTACATGAAATCCTTTTAAATTTATTTTTTAAATAAGCATAAATATGTATAGAAAATAATAGTGGTGGGATAAACCCCAAAATTTCACAATGGTTATCTCTGGTAGTAGAATTAAAGATTTTTCTTGCCCGTTCCTTTTGTCTGAATTATCAAGTGTTCTGGAATGTGTATGTATTACTTGGCTTTTAAAAACAAGGCTCTTGTGCAGCAAGTTCCGGCGCATCCACAGTAGACACAAGCTAAGCCATTGATATGAGGAAAGTGGCCTGATGATCATTTGCTTTAGACCCTGTGTACCATAAAGAAAACAATATTTGAGGTCTATTTAATAGTGATAACGTTTTCCATTATAAAAACAGATTACCTCAGTTGCTCTCATTTTAACTAGAATATCACAAGGTTTACCTAGAACCTAGAGGATAGAGAGTCTAACCACAAAGCAGTGCTAATTTTTTGTCACTGTTCATCACTTCCATGATGGAGACCTCAAGTCCCATTTACCCCTTAGTCAGCAACTGCAGATGAGCATAGCTTGGTGATACCAGAGCATTGCCACATTTCAGAGTTCCTCTCCACTGAAAACAAAATACAGTACATTGACACTTTTCTAAAAGGTTTCTTTATATTTGCAGCTCAAAGAGCAACGTGAAAGGGAACGTAAAATGAGAAAAGCAAAAGAGAACAGCGAAGAAAGCGGAGAGTTTGATGACCTTGTTTCAGCGTTACGCTCCGGAGAAGTGTTTGACAAAGACCTTTCCAAATTGAAACGGAATCGCAAACGCATTACCAACCAGATGACGGACAGCAGCCGAGAGAGACCAGTCACAAAACTTAATTTCTAATTTTCCATGAATACTTTTCTAGAAAGCGCATTAGTATCCCTTTGAAGTGACTAGAACTTTTCATTACACTGCCTTGCAATCCAAACGGTGGCAATTTCTTCCCTCATCTGTGAGTGAATGTGTGTATGTAAATGTATGCGTGTGTATATATATGTATTAAAAAGTGTATATAGAAGTCTGAGTGTTGTCTGGAGACCTATATGTATAGCTAAAAAATTTTGTTAATGTATGTGCTCAGAAACCCTTCGTGTATGCATTCACATTGAGTGTGGCTCATTTTCTCTCCCTGAACACCATGACTGTTCAGAAGCACAATATTATCTCCTGAAAGAGATGACAGAGACATTCCCTAGAGTATATTTAAAAAAGAAAAGGCTTGCAGAATATTTTATGGTTTCCAAGCTTGGTATACTCTGAAATTATTTTCATTGGTGGAACTGGAGTTGGACAAATGTAGATGTAAAATGGTTTTTGATAGTTGACAATGTGATGCTGGTGCATCGCATCAGTAATAAGTAGGACCAGCTTAGAATTTCTGACGTTGGTGTGGGGATACAGTCTGTAAATATTTATTAAGAACATCTTGCACACAATGTGAATCATGTAGAATGTCAATCAGAATTTTTCTGTATATTTAAAACTTGGACATCAATTTTTTTTCCCCCCTAATTTCATCAAGTTCTCTGCCAAGTACTCTTGATGACTTCTTTAAATTGCTTTTGGAAAGAACACTATCTTCATGCAATCCACACTCTTGTTAAAAAAAAAAGATTACCAGAATGTGCTTCTTGTTCTAACAATATAGATATATAAACCTGAAAAATAAAATATCCTACCCAAGACTTAAAGGTAGAATTCTCTGAAGGGATAAAGATTCTTTAAAAAAATTTTTTAATGGGGTGCCTTTTTGTTGTTGTTGTATTTTCTATTTTCTGTTTTGTAGGACAAGCTGCATCTTCTGTAAATATAGGTCTGGAATAAATGACACTTAAAGAATGCACAAAATGTCAACAGCATCAGCAGATATGCCCAGATCTATTTATCTCTAAGTATATTTGAAGTGGTTTGTTTATATGTTGTCATTTTAAATTGTATGTCAGTAAAGCTACCTGTAAAATTTCAGTCCAAAAAATAAAGCTCTCAGGGAGAAACAATAAAAACAATGAACATTAGAAAATAAAATATAGATGCTTACCATTAACCTACCAACTCTTAATATCCTTAAATTATATGATATATAAAGAGGACTGTTACTTTTTGCCTTTTTTTTTTTTTTTTTTTGCTTTGCTTTATTTATTTGTAGTTGGGATGGGGGGCCTAATGTTTATTCTTTTCTTTCCATTGATCCTATTGTGGTTGGGTTTCCTGTGGAGAGAGTAGTTTGTCCTGTTGCACTAGATTATTTACTCACTAAATTGAGTTTTTCAATTAACAAATATTTATTAAGCACCTACTGTGTACCAGGCATAGTAGGGCTACAATGGTAAGCAAGACAGAGTCCCTGCCCCCACGGAGCTTATGCTGTAATGGGGATATTAAGGGATGAATAGAATACCAATGTGTGCACTGTACAGGAATCACGCTATTTAAAAATAATTTGTATAAACTATAATGCTTAGTGCAGATGGCAAGGTATCTGTGCTAAGTGAAAGCTGTGAAATAGTGCTCTAAGAGTTGTCAAGAGCTGTGGTTTTACATTTTGTTTCTCATTGCAAATATAGTGACTTTCTACACATTATATGGACATAAACGTCTCCTAGCAAATAAAACGGTCATGAATACAAAGCAGAGGTCACGCTCCCCCACCCCCTAGTTAACCGAGCTCTGCGCGTACACCACGTTAAAGGTGCAGATGGAGACTCGGCTCAAAAAGGCTTAGAGATGAGGAGTTGGATATAATGATGGTTTTGTCTATTCCTTAACTAAAGTGCCTCTATGTATATTCTTTTCTATTTAAAGCAGGAGAAATTTGGTCTGGCTCAATTTTGAAACTGTATTTTGAAAATGGCTTTGTCTTATAGTTTAAGGAATAGACATGGGGAGGAAGAGTCACATACAGGAGCAAGTTTGTGTAGCATGTCCCTCTTGCCCTTCTTAAATCATCCTCTTTTTGATATGGCCATCCTGGTAGGCCTCCTTTGCCATGTCCACGTTTGGTTCCTTTCCCCGAAAACTGTGTGCAGGTAATTCCATGTGCCATTGTTGAGAAGAAAAAAACAAAAAAAACCTTTTAGATTGGTGCTGGTGTAAGTAGCCACTTTTCTCTCTTGGGTGTGTATTTTAAAGTTTTTTGTTTGTTTTTTTAAATTAATGCCAAAAAGAAAAAGCATAATTTGTAAACTTAATTATATGTCTTGTATCTTATTAGTTTAGTAGTCGGAACCACTTAGTCTTTAGGTGCAAGACTGTTGTTAGATAGTACCAAGAAAAATGATGTTGTATGTGTTATGAGACTGTACATTTTTTAAAAAATAGCAATATGCAATAAAGAGATGAATTCATTGGGTGTACATATATTCTTTTTGTGAACATCATCAAGCTTCTTGGAACTTTCCACCATTGAATTTAAATATTACAGATTGTTCACTAAATCAGAAATATATACATATTTTTAAATTTGTATATGCTGGACCTAGAAGGCTACCATATGCCACCTCTTTCTATACTTGGTTTATGTATTAGTTATACAGTTTCATGTTACATATGGTAGAGCTACCAGTGAAATTATTCAACTAGAGTCTACAAAAGAATCTCTAGTCTCCAGAATCAAAACTCTTTTCATTTTGAAGCATTTTCTTCTTAAAAATTAATTTTTGTTATAGGTCAACATGGGAAGTGTCACCCATACAGATCAAAAAATGTGTTTTGTGAATATCCTCTGAAAGTTGAAGGCTTTCCCTTTGTCCTACATCCCTGGCTGCCTAGCCACCCTCAACCCAATTTAAGGTCAGGCTGAATACAAACTGTCCCAGTGGTTGATAGACTCCCTGAGTGCTCCAATGCTAATTCTTCTGGTCTTTGGAATGGACTCATGATCTTATAACTGCCAGCCATCTTATTTCTCATCCTGTCAGTGGATAACTGTATCCGAAGGCTATAATGTTCTCTGGAGCTGACATTTGGAGAGAGAGAAACTTCTACGTGTTAGGCAAATGTGATATTCCATCCTACAAAATAAATGAACCACTGCCTATTTTACATTTGAGTGTGGACCTATGTACAGAACCCCCAGACCCTCAGTTACTCTTGGTGTATTGATAGAGGAAGGAGGAACGTGAAACTTTCAGATCGTTACACTTAGTGTCTTCAGTTTTCAAAAAAAAAAATCATCAGTAGGGGAAATATGCCTCTGACCGGGCTAAGTTAGGTGATCTATCCAGAACTTTGCCCCTTTTCTGTAACTTAACATGGGTTTCTGTGAGACAAAGGGATAATCTTTATAAAACTACTGTAGTTTAGACGCAATGACAGGTATAGGTTCTGAGAAATCGCATTATTAGATAATCGCTGGGAACATCATAGAGTGTACCTACACAGACCTAGATGGCATAGCCTATTGCTCTGAGGCTACAAACCTGCACATGTGACTGCTGAATACTGCAGGCAGCTGTAACACAATGGTAAGTATTTGTGTTTCTAAACATACCTAAATAGAGAAAAGATGAAATAAAAATACCATATAAAAGATAAAAACTGCTAAACCTGTATGTATAAGGGCACTTAACCGTGAATGAAGCTTGCTGGACAGGAAGTTGCTCTGGGTGAGTCAGTGAGTGAGTGGTGAGTGAATGTGAAGGCCTAGGACATTCCTGTTCTCTACTGTAGACTTCATAAACACTGTATACTTAGGCTACACTAAATTTATTTAAAAATGTAATAAGCTAACCTTACCTTACTGTGAGTTTCTTTATAAACTTTTTAAGTTAACTTCTTTTCCCAGTAATTGCATTAAGTTACCTTTTGACTTTTATAATAATACTTAGCTTGAACACATTATACAGCTGTACAAAGACTTTATATCATTCTATAAGCATTTTTCTATTTTTAGAATTTTTAACTTTTTTTGTTAAAAACTAAGACATAAACACACATTAGCTTAGTCCTACACAGAGTCAGGATCATCAATATCACTGTCTCACACATCCGCATCTTGTCCCACTGGAAGGTCTTCAGGGGCAGTAACACTATGGAGCTGTCATCTCCTATGACAACAATGCTTTCTTCTGGAATACCTCCTGAAGGACCTACCTGAGGCTGTTTCACAGTTAATTTTTTTTTTTAAAGAGAGTCTTGCTCTGTCGCCTAGGCTGGAGTGCAGTTGTGCAATCATAGCATACTGCAACCTTGAATCCTGGGCTCAAGTGATCCTCCCACCTCAGCCTCCTGAATAGCTGGCAGAGCTACTAGTAGGGCCATGCTACCATGCCCAGCTACGTTTAATTTTTTTGTAGAGATGGGGTCTCACTATGTTGCCCAGGCTGGTGTCAAACTCCTGGCTTCAAGTGATCTTCCCTTCTCAGCCTCTCAAATTGCTGGGATTACAGGTGTAAGCCACCACATCTAACCAAATTTGTTTTAATAAGTAAAAGAAGTATACTCTAAAATAACAATAAAATGTATAGTATTATAAATACAGAAACCAGCAACATTATTATCAAGTACTATGTACTGTGCATAAGTATATGTGCTATATTTTTATATGACTGGCAGCGAAGTAGGTTTGTTTATGCCAGCATCATCACAAACACGTGAATAATGCATTGCGCTATGAACTTATGACACCTAGGACACAAGCAATAGGGAATTTTTGGTTCCATTATAATTGTACGGGACCACCATGGTATATGTGGTTCATGGTTCACCAAAATGTCATCATGTGGTGCATGACTGTTCAAAAGGCTGAGGTCTGGAAGGGAGAACTTTCAGTGAGAACTTTTTTTTTTTTAATAGTATCAGCTGTTTCCTATCAAGTGGAAAACCTAAATTAAGAACTCCCAAGGCTTAACAGCTACTTGATACCATTTAGTTCCATAAACACTAGCTTTGAGAACCACTGGACTGTGTGTGGAGAGATTTAGAGTCAGGGGTATATGGCTTCTTGCACGGGGTCATTTATAAATTATAAAATTGAGTTCTATGTTCATTTTCTATGTGTGGTCTACATATTGTTTGAAGTCTCTATGTCCCTATTGCCCCTACTAATATGAACTCAAGTCTAAAAGCCTATTGAGTCCATAATTAAGAGATGACTTAATATCTATGAATTCTTTATCTTGGAGAGAGTTTGGGGCCTATGGAGGAAACGTTTCTTGTTTATAAGGATTTAGTGCTTTCCATAGCAAATACCAATCAGAATTATTTTTTATCTGGCTCATGGGGAAAATAGCAGACCTGCCCTTTAGTCTCTTCCCTGACATGCTTTTATCTACTGCAATCAACTGTGTGTTTCCATGGTATCAAACAAACAACATGAGCATAGGATTGCACACCAGGGTTTTCAGACAAAGGAGATCCTTATTTTTATCAAACCTTGATGTTTTCATTTCCCCATGGGAAAAAGAAAGGTTCCTAAGTATGATTTTTTTTTATGTTCTTTGAATATAGCATTTGTTTGCTCTGCTTTTTGGTTTCTTTTGCTGGGAGGAGGAAGAAAAAAAACAGTTGCCATCCTCCTGTCTCATGTATACCCATTATGGTCATGTGGGGACATTTCTGTGGCAAAAGAATCTGCAATCCCTCATGTGATAGTGAGCTTTTCTTGTTAATGTCCTCACCCCCACGTCCAGTGCAGAGAAACTTTCCCAGCTCTAATCAAATTGTGGGCTGACTCTTCTAGGATGGGAGGAGATGCCTGAAGAGGAGGTGATTGTAATGTTGAGCAATGACTTGGGAAGACAAACACGGGGTAAGGAGTGACTACAGCAGGTTAAACAAGAAAAATCAAGTTGCAGGCTACAAGGCTAATACACAGAAGTTAATTGCTTTCCTATATGCCAGCAATGAACAAGAAGAATTTGAAACAGCTCCATACTTCCCCAATAAATGGGCCAAGCCATCCCACTCCTTCGTACATACCCACCACCACTCCGTCCTCAGGTAAACTCCCTTTCGTAAATTTTCATGCCCTTTTGACTTCCCTAGGTTATTTACATCTGGATGTAATTCTACAAAACAGCCCCATAAGGTGGGTTTTCATGCTACTTCCTTGGACTTTCATTCCGACTCTCACCATTCCAGACTTCTTCAGCCCAGTTCCCAAAACCTCCTGATTAACTTAGATTAATATGAGCTTCATGTCCATTTCTTAACTGTTTACTTTAGAAGCCAGAGGGTAGAAATAACACAAAGTGCTAGTCACTAGTGAGCTAGTTATTCTCGGGCAGTTCAGGCTATAAGCCTTTTGGCTTTCCAGTTAAAGACGGTTTTTGCAAGTCGGCTGTTCTTAGACCTTCCATTCAGCCCCCTCTTCCCTCCCGCCTTTCCTTCCTTCCCTCCAGCCAGCTTCATTAGTTACTCCACCATCAGAAGGCCTCATTATTAGGAATTCTCTTCAAATGCCACTTGCAGAAAACAGTTCTCTCCTATTGCCTTGAATGTGAGCTATTTGACCCTGAAGAGCAGCAGCTGTTCAGTGACCTGACGCTTTTATCGCTGGTGCATTCACACTGAAAGCATGACCTTCCAACGTCTGCTAGAGGCACTGCCAGGAGAAGGGTCACGCAGGCCCTATGTCACCCGCTCACTGCCAAAAGATTAATGCAATGGGGAAGGGACCCTCTTTCACATGATCTGGAGAAGTGACGCTTCTAGGACAACTGGCATTGACTTTTCCCTCACTAGACTGTGGCAAAGGAAACCCCGACCAGTCCTGAAACTTTCCGCAGTCACGAAAGTACACACTCCCAAATTCCCATCTGCCTGTTCTGTTCCCTTGCACCAACACCTTAGACAACACGCTAGGACCCAAGAACTCTGAGGTCCAGATTTGTCTTTATTGCTGTCAGACGTGAGCGGCCACCCTAGGTCTCCCGAACACCCTCTCTTCCCATTGTGGAGGTTGGACAGAGCAGTTCTAAGACTTCCCACTGTAGGATGCTGCAGTCCTGCCTTTGAGGCTCCCAGTCCCTGTGTGCTGGGAATTCACTGCAGCCAACTTGCTAACTAGAATTAAACAAACTGTCCTGATCACACTGTTTATCAGCCACAGCCAAGAACCCGGGCTTCTTGCCCTAGCTGTTCGGGAAGGGGAATGGTGGAAGGGCAATTGCTTAGAGCACCTTACATTTCATCAGTAACGAGGCTCATTCCAGGGTTTCCTTTTACTAAGTAACTGTGGTAATGATGATCCTCAGGGCCCCATCTGGGCTGCACCCAAACCACATGCATTGATTTCATTATGAAATCAATGTCTCTCGTTAACACGGCTTTTCCCTGCAGAGGCCGTTGTGGTGCCCTAGGAAGAGTGTGGTTGGAAAAGGAGGAGAGAACAAATCAAACTAAACGGAAGGGCCC